TTTGTCTATCTGAAGGCCAAGCTACATAGCACCGTGGAAGCTGCTGATTGGAGGTCTCCATGCCTCCGCTCTGTATAATACACTTGTATTCTGTTGTTGGTGTTGTTCGTGCTGTCTCTACCATCGACAATAAAACATGTCTTCTGTCTGAATGAAAGACGCGATCCCAGACATGTCATCTTCTTCACTATTAACAGAAACGACCTGGCTCCTAATGCAAATTTCTCTGCGTTCACATGAGGTTGAAAAACCATGTAGTTCTAGCGCCCGGCCAGTAGTGGGCAGAGAAACTTTACAACACTCACACGACCCCCAGCCCCGTGTCCAGCCCCCCTCTCGGCAGTATACTCACTTCCTGTGCCAGACCCTCAGAACGTACCAACATCATTCTGCCTTTTAACAGCAGCTGTGAAAATGGAAACTGAACCTAGAGCTTCGCGTGGTCTCGTTTGGACGAACGAAGGAGTAGAATTATCCTCTGTGCAGCGCGGGAAGCCCACGAAGCTAGTTAGTGCGACCGCCGCCATTGTTGTTGATGTTGGTTCTCCGCTACTGCGCATGTCCAAATTTACGTGCGGGGAGCAACGCGGAGGCGGGGGTCAGAGCAGAGGGGGATTTCACACCTTTCCCCTCTCGCGGGTGTGAAAGAGAGCCCCCGCTGTGCAGCTTTTCTGAGTTGTCCCACTCTGCAGGCTGGATCTGAACACTTACGTTTTCACCCCCCTGGAACACAGTCTTCGTATGAACGCTTGGTAGCAACCGACATCCAACTATACCGTTTTACTGCCACATTGTCTCCGTGTAAACTCAGCCTCAGTATAAACAGGGCCTCAGATACGCTGCTCAGTGGGGCAGTCTTTCACACCTGCGTGAAGAAAAAGGTGTGAATTCTCCGCTGCTGCTCTGACCCCCACCTCCCCGCTGCTCCCCGCACATACATTTGGACATGCGCAGTAGCCGAAAACAAACGTAAACAACAATGGCGGCGAGTCCACAAACTAGCTACGTGTGCTTCGAGCACTACACAGAGGAGGATTCCACTCCTTCGTTCGTCCAAACTAAACCACGCAAAGCTCTAGTTTCAGTTTTAATTTTCGCAGCTGCTGTTAAATGCAGAATGATGTTTGTGCATATTTTCATGTCTTTGAGGAGGATGTTGTTAAGAAAGTGAGTATACTGCTGTAAAGTTCCTCTGCCCACTACTGGCCGGGCACTAGAACTACATTGTTTTTGATCCTCATATGAACGCTGTGAAATTTGCATAAGGAGCCTGGTCGCTTCTGTTAATAACTTGGAAACGTCTGTGCAGCGCCTCCGTATAAACGGGGCCTTAATTACAGAGTAATAGAAATGCATGGCAATAGCCCAGCAGGTGACAAGTCCCCCTTTAAAACCTCCATTCTCTTTAGTTCTCCATTAGGGCTGCAAGCAGGCCTGAACAATATGGGCAAAATGTTAAGATAAGAGATTTATTCGTCCCACACTGGAGAAATGTCAATGTTGCAGCGCACATTCAGGACAGTAGTAAGCACACACACTGAATCGTGTTTAACATTTACTTTAAAAAATCCTCGTAAGTATTTTCACAAAGATATATTAATTAAAGATTACTACTATAAATCAAGCAAAACTTTTTCTTTTATGAAGTATAATACAAATGTTATTTGTAAGTAAACCTTACTGAACAAATGGGATTTTTTTTACACTTGATTACACAAAATAATCAAGTAAGGTTTATGTGATTTTTTTTAAGTATTTGTATGTGTGTAATAGAAATATTGAGTAACCATTATGTGTACAGATCATTTACAATAATGGATAACTTGGATAAATGTCACTTATATTTTATCACTATATTTTATCTCATTGCAATAATACTTATTAAGCACTATTGTGATAAGTTAATTTTTTCACTATAATTCTAACACCATTAAGGAAAGTTTTAAACCTCTTAACTTGAATTCTCAGAAGCAATAATGCTTATTCTTCAATCGTAGATCAAAGTCAGCCAATTACAGTGTACAGACTCAGTGACCTCTAGTTTAATATTTGAACAATGTAAGTAGAAGACCTAGGAAGTATACTCATACTTTGGCTTGGCCCTGTCGAATATGGTTGGTAAAAAATATTTAAAATTATTTATTGTGTTAAATTAGTTTATTCAAAATGTTGCACATGTATTTTGCTTTAGGACTTCATATTCACTCTCAAAATTAATGCTCAAATGTAGCCTTTTTCAGAATTTTATATTTTCTCTGCAATGCATTCTGGGTAGCGTCACTACCTCGCCCAATACATTTTGTTTTCAATCAACACTACTTGATTTTTTCAAGTGTTGGTGCTATGACAATAAAGCATGTAAATGGTATGAGCAAATTTCTAATAAGATATACTCTTCCTACTCAATTAATTAATTACCTTGGGTTAGTTCCAAGCAAATAGTGAAAATAAATGATTTTATGATAAATTAATATCTAATTGATTTTTAAACCAGCGTTAGATAACATGGCATAGGCTAATCCTTGTTTCATGTGAAGAAGAGTGTAATATATCTCAGTTCCATTTTGACGCAGAAGGAGAAAAAATACCTAGCATCTAAAAATATAACTCAGCCGACGCTGATGTGATGCAATGACGACATGTGTACAATCCAACACAACCCAACGACAATCATGAATATACTGTAACATGAAAAACAATTGAAAAGTAACTTTCATTAAACTTCACGTTTGTGCTCGTCCGTGTGCAGGGAACAGCGACAGCCGTTTGATCGCGCTCTCGTGTTGGTCATACTGCGCATTTGCTCATTCAAACAGGAGCTTCAATTTTTTAAATACATTTTACTCGCGTTTTTACATTAGTATATAGACTAGTTCTATAATTGAAGTAACTGTTACAGTTACTATTCAATACCCCTTTTTTAAATTATTATTTTGGTGCACAATTTTAAATAACAAAAGTTAGTACCCAGTTTCTTAATTTAACAATGTAGGAATTATATATTTTTATATGATAACATTTAGTACACCCAAAATGTATTTTTATCAGTGCAGGGAACACAAAATATTTTATATAAGTTGCTGCTATGTTCCTTAACTAGCTGTAAATTCTTCAATTTCTATCTATATATCTTTATCCGGCCCTATATGTATATAACTTTGCACTAATATACATGAATACATACATTATGTAACATACATGCAGTAACAGTAGCAGCAGCAGCAGTAGTGCAAAGTTATATACAGTACATAACTGTACAGAACTGCATGCAGGGCGGGCATTGTGGAAATATATATTTTGATATTTTTACTGTTCATATCTCAGTGCAAATAGGATAATAATATATCTTAGAAGTAAGATGAATCACAAGCATTTTTAGTGTTTGAAAATAGAAATTCACAAAGAATACAATATATTTATAAGCGTTCAATTTTTGTCTAAAAGATTCTCTGGTATTTTTCTGTCACTGCTTTTGAAACTTTTTTGTTGTTGTTCATCACAAAAACCCCATGTTCATTACAAAAAAGGATATTTTACTAGATTTAATGTTCAGCTGTTTTGTCTACACGTATACAGTATACTGCAGTGACTGTGACATCTGTCTACCCTGAGCTGTGGCTCTGCTGCTGGAAGACCTCTCATTTATCCAGAGTCTCCTTTCTCCGCAGGGCTCCAGAAACGGACTGTCCTGTCACTATATAGCTTTTGGTGCCGTGGTTGACAATATGCCGTTTCTCCATTTGTCACGGTTCAATGGAGCAAGACGCTACCGACTTCCTCAGTTTTAATTGCTTGTGTGCTCATTAAAAATCAGAGAAGATAATTTTGGTGGTGCCATACAAAAAATTGAAAAAAGAGGTAGAGAAAGGAGAACATTAGGCAAAAGAAGTGGTGAAGCGAAAGCATCTCCTTCATCTTCTTCATTACCCCCGTCTCAGACAATTGAGCTAATAACCAGCAGAGAAGAGAGAATGTTGTGTTTCCTCTTTTGTTAAAGTGAAGAAAAAATGTTTTTTTAGAATCTAAAGCTTCTCACTTATGTCGGATGTGTTCTCTTTTCCATCTGTAATAACTAAAATAAAATGTTTTTGATAATTGTGGTTCCCTAATGCTATTGCTATCAAACCTCATATTCTGTTGTCTGCTTTTAGTGTATTGAAGCTATTTCCTCAAAGTCTGCCAGACCCCACATGCTTGAAGTTTGTAATACTAAATCAAGTGCTTCCTTGGTACTGCTTCTATACTAAAGCTATTTTGGTAGCATTTGGTGTGGGGTTTTATACTTTTAATCTTTCCTGGGACAATCCATAAAAAGTCTTTACTACTTTATTCAACACACATTTTTGAAAGTTTACACATTCAGGCCTTTTTCCTAAGAAGAATGAGCAGCTTTACCATCAGCGAAGATAAATCTGCCACTACCACAAAAGGCTTAAGCTGTATAGATGTTGTGGACGCTGTTGAGAACTGGGGGATGTGAACTCATCAGGATCATTTTAGTTTTAATTCTTGAAACATTTGAAAATGGAACATATGTTTAAATATCAATAATGATCACTAACAATGTGGCTTAGAACCTTGTAAACTTGTAAACTTTCAAGCACAACTGTATTATAGCCATTTCAAATGCATCATATACATTTCAAATCGTTAGAAAACCGATCGTGGACAAAACATTTCTTCTCCGTTGCTTCTCATCTTCCTCTCGAAATGAAACACAATATGTGGCATTCCAGCTTTTCAACCGCAGTGTTATGCACTTGCTGACGACCACACAAGCCTCAGCCGTCACCCAGGGGAACCTTTCACATTGATAAACTGTTGACACAAATGGACATCACATCTCTGTTAAACAGCACCGCAGGTCTAAAGCTTCAGGTTGTTATGATTAGTAAGCACTGTATTCTCCCCAGAGAGTTTCACTCACACCCTTCAATGCTCACCGTAGTTTACTGCATATATCGGACCCATATTGAAATTTACCTTTTCTCTCTTTACAGTTCGTCTGACAAGTCCCTGCCATGGAGAGTACCAGGTAAGTCTATCCATCCACAGCATCCCTGTATTTTGCAGTGAGTGAATATATTCATTACAATAAAGATTGTATTTACCATTAAAGCACATATTTATGGAGTAGATGTTAATAAAGTAAATTATATGAAAATTAGAGACCAAGTACAGATTTAGTTTTTTTCACGGATTCTGCTTTGCCCATTACAAATGCATCGACCAATTTTGATTTACAATAAAACTTTGTTTGTGATCGCAAATGAAAAAAAATAAAATAAAAAAAGCTGAATTGAAGTTGGCTGTATGACACTGTGAACTGCACAATGTCATGGATTAAATCAGATGAATTCTGCTGATTCCGGGCTTAAAATGAGGTATGACGAGGGTGGATGACAGTGACATCAATGATTACAATATTGGCAAATATCAGAAAAATCTTGACTTATTAGTGATAGTAATAATAGCCCCCCCCTCCACCCCCATTACATGCATAGTAAATATTTCACCATCTGAAAAAAGCAGATATTGTATAAACTGTAGCACTTTGAATACATTTTTGGTCTCCGCTGTAAAACATTCTGCTTAAATTTAGTTTCTTCTCTCTAACTAATCTCAACGTGTTCAGTCACTTAAAATATGCACTCCCACCCATTGTAATTACGAATATTCACCCATGTGCGCCACATTACTTCACATAAATAACTTCATTTTATGAGAATTTAAGGGTCCTATCCAACTTTTATAGTGCTTCTCTTTAATGATTACACACATGAATCTTTCGGAATAAGTCGCCTCGGGCATATCCTCGCTTGGATATTTATCTTGGCTATTTGTGCCTACTCATGACACAACCACTGACGGGCAGCCTGGGGATTAGCGGCCGACCCCAGGGCTCTCTCTTTGCCGAGTGCGCATCCTTCAAAGATCTTCAGTCAAAGCGAGATAATGAATTGAATTTACTATGTATTTCATGGCTTATTAATTGTGTAACAGAATTTGTGCAGTTGCTATTAATCTTTTATTGTCAATGCTGTCAAAGAGGCCTACGGGGGGGGGGGCGATAGTTGTACATTTGCTCTGGGAATATTAACACAACATTGCCTCCTCATTTGTTTCCGTATCGCATTCCATTAGAGAGAACTAATCACAGTCATAAGTTTGTTTTGTATTGATTTGCTATCGTCCCACTGATAAATGATGTGTTTTCCATTCATTAGACTGTGATGAGGGGAACTGTTATTGGCCTTATGAGCAGCTGAGTCTGAGCTGCAGAGACACAAGCGTTACTGTGGAAACGAGGCTTATAGCCCCAGGAAATGTCAATGTAGTCACACCTCATGACCACCGCAGGCAAGGGATGTCACAGTCCAGCCACGCTTGAGAAAAAAACTTTAAAAAGAATAACGCAACACATCAAGGCTTCCCTTTGTCACTCCTCAATACAATTATTCAGCAAGATTTCACTTTATACTTTGTTTCTTTTGTTGTGTCTCATAAATGTAATGGCTATGCTGAGATTGATTCTAAGATCGGACGCGCCAAATGTCTCTTCCCACATCTTCCCTCATGTTGCCTGCTAGTCCTGTTCAATAAAGCATATGCTTAAACAACTCTACAAACAATGAACTGTCAATATAGAATTTGTTTTCCAGTTCCACATTCAGCTTCTTCTCTTTTTACCTACCAATTGATACTAAGAGGGTACACATTCTACTCCATTTTAAAGATAGATTTCATCATGTTACTGCTGTTGTAATATCACAAAAAAAGAACCAAGGTTCAACGATACTGAGAAATAAACCTACACATTTTAGTATCAATAATTCGAGCCAAAGAGTGGTTTGAAAGCGGCCATCATTCTGTTGAGTGTGATGAACTGATCTGTTGGCTTTTCTTGCCCCATTTTGGCTTTTTGGCACGTCGTTTATCAAGCAGGGCCAGGGCCCAGTGTAAACCCTCTGTGCTCCAAAGCTTGTGGCAAACATCAGAAAGGAAAAATGAAAGAATTGAGCTTTCTAAGACAACATAATAATAGCCATAAGAGTAGCTTCAAATGGTGGTAAACATTAGTAATTATTTTGATAATCAGTAGATGTCTTTTTTTACTTAAAGTCAAGAGGTCCTGCTGATATATACTCCACTCTCTTCATCTGAACCTTATCCCATTAGTAAACAGAGCCTTAGAAGTCCTGGAACAGCAGTGGTGCATGGCAGCTTGTCAAACACACTAGGCCTTTTTGTCAACACATTTTTGCAACAGGTCAGTTCCAGCGGCCAGGCAGATTCTTCACAAGGCCCTCCCATTATTCTCACTGTGGGTAGAAGGCAGTCATTATTAGTGAGGGCTGGCTGCTGCTGCGTGCCTATTCCCTTAGGTTTAGGGCACATTGTTGTGATGCCGAGATGCTGGTCATGCTTAACCAGATTGTGAGGCTTTCAGTGCACGGACATTAGGAGGCTAATTCAGAGCTGTTTTTCAGAATGGTTGAAGTACTTGGCCTTTACTCTTCCATTTTTTTTGTATGGTTTGTTACATGGTATTCAATGGAAATATTTGCTTTTTCTATTTCCCGGAAATTGTTTTGTTTTTGTAATTATATTATTTTTGCGGAGTAAATTTCTGGGGTTCAGTCTCAACTTGCATGAATCCATAGAAAGTTAAACCCTACTTAACAACACTCTTCATGTAAATGCATACATTTCTTGCCAAAACTATAAACAACATTTCCATGAAAAATGAGCAGTAAGAGCCCCCCCAGAACAAGTGCTAATCAGACTTATGGGGTCGTTATGCCCATAGCAAGGATCAAGGGAAATAAAAGCTGCGTAAGAAAAATCTTCTGCTTTGTTTTTCTCTAAAAACGTACCCGGTGGCACTTAATTAATCTAAAGCAAACATGCATATAATATTCGATAAAACTTAATATTCACCCACCCTGAATGGTCCAGCAAATTTACTTCAAAAGTATTGGTTTTAATCTGATGAGGGCACGGTCACATAGCTTTTCACAAACAGACTAAGCCAAGTGGCCCGGATCGTCGCCACAGGGGTGTGAGGACGGCCCGCGGTCAGAAGGGTGTACTGTATTTATAAACCCTGCCAGCCCAAATGTAGTATAGTGCGACGCTCGGTCCAGCTGGTGGAGCTAATACTAATACTACCTTGGGATTATACTACCTTGCAGAGTAAACAATGTGAGCCAGAGAAATGAATGAATGAGAATGAAAGAATGAAAAGTGTGGCATACAAGCAGAGAGAAACGCATTCCTTCGACCCTGGAGTGACAAATCTCCCTTGCGCCCCTTTACCACGGTCTGGGGGCTTACATGAAAGGTGTAACACAAGCGAGGAAGAATGCGAAAGTATGCTACTGCAGGTAGAGACATGTGTGAAAATGCATGTCACAGTGGACGCAGCAGGAAGACATAATGTGATGTCCAATATTATCCCCACCACACCTCATCCCACCACACCTCATCCCACCACCACCCACCACATCGACCCCCCCCCTCATCTGGGCTGTACAACTGTGCTCAGGCCCACCTCTCTCAACTGTGCCCAAGCCCAGTTGCCGCGGTCACATAGCACCTAAACCCTACAGGATCTTATCGCGATCTGGGCCTAGGCCTGCTTTAACTGGGCTTTAGGTTGTGCTTGTGACCGCAGCCTGACGTCTTACCCATTAACCATAGTGTGCCATGAATTGTGTCCCATTTTTGCATTCCTAAATTAGCTGGGCAATAAAACGTAATGACTCTGCAGCACAAAAGCAGAACTAATGTAGCGGAAAATATCATCTGTTATTGTTTTCTCTAAACTCCAAAACTGATGATTGTTATGGCTATTTAAATATTCTCCTCTGAAGAGAAAGCTGTAATTGTTAGAATCCAAGCTTTTCCTTTGACTGCCTGTTTTGCTCTGTCTCCCCAGATGCCTCCACCTCAGGAGAAGCCAAATCTCGAATGACTGACAGTTTGCAGTCGCCTAGCTACCGCATCAGGACCGAGTCAGAGCAGGTGTCTCTGTACTCCCCTGAGCAGACTTCTCTCCATGAAAGTGAGGGTCTGTTATTACTTTTCTCTTGTTGCTGACTCATAGTCGCTCATATTCTCCCTTAAATTATTTCATGAAGACTTTAACCCCATGAATCTTACTATGAGCAGTGTATTATTCTGTTAAAGCCAATGTCGTGGGATGTATTTAAGAAAATAATGTGAGTGAAACCAAAAATATTCATTGTCCAGTTTCTACAACTCCAGCTTACTACTATTACTACAACAAAAACATCTAGTGTAACTATATTTATAGTCTTGTGAAATTCTATCAAGATTATTGAGTGTTGTCTTAATTGTCTACCGTTTTGGAGAACTTTGTCATCTCTTGGCATGCTTGATATTTAGAGCATGCTTTTTACCTCTGACCCTTCATCATGGCTAATAAAAGTTCAATAATCCTCAATGCTTTGTGAAATTGCGGGGCCAAAGAGCAGTTTTCACTCAGCCTGGCCATTTGTCATTAGCGCTGTGCCTTAGCAAAGGTCACATCTGTTACCTAAGTGTCTCTCTGCCTGTCCCCTCATCCTGTCCTCCGTCTCTCTCAGGGTCTGTGGGGAATTCTCGGAGCTCCACTCAAATGAACTCTTACTCGGACAGCGGCTACCAGGATGCCAGCAGTGGATACCACAGCAGCCAGACCCTCGGCAAGGCGGAGCTCCGAATACAACATTCCTTCTCTGGCACTGGCACTGGGACGGGCCGGAGTGCCAGGGCGGAGGGCCAGACAGCACAGGTACTTGCCAAATTCACAGATACACTGGACACATTATTAAATGCACCTGCCGTAAATGCCAATATCCATCCACAAATAACATTCCTGCAAACATTGTATTCTGGAACGAGAAAACCAAATCTTGCAGCTTTTAGAGCATTGCTGAGAAACATTGTACATTAAAATCATCAATATGAATTAATTGTACAGATTTTTTTATCATGTGCAAATGTTAAGATTAGAAAAAAAAAAAAAAAATTGAGTCTGTTTGGTGCATGAATCAGAATCAGAATCAGGATCATTTTTATTGCCACGTAAGTAACAGGAGGTCACAGACTAGGCAATTGCTTTGGCTCAGTGCAACAGTCAAAAAGAGATAATAAAAATAAGAACGATTGGTGGTGGTTGGAGGTGTACATAGTGAATGAAAAATTCCATGTGAAGCATCTTTGAGTGTCCAGAAAAGCTCCCTCTAAAACAAATGCATTTTTTTTTGTATATAGTTTTGCCAAAAAATTTATCAATAGGTGTCAGGACAATGAAAAACTAAGACTGTTGCCATCGGGAACAAACACACTTGGTGAGTGTACAGAGACCTCGGGTTTACAAAACAACTTGCTTTTTATTCGGTCATCGATCACGTCCTGTTTACAGTCAACAAACACAATGCTTTTGATATAGGTATTTAATTCTTATCTAATTTGGTGGGCAGTGGGGATCATTACTGTAATACCGAACTTGTATATCATCGAAAAACATGAAACAATCAATATAATGTTGAACTAGTATGGTATGCCTTTTAGTTATCAAAATGCATTCTTGATCTTAGTTTATTACCCCCATTGTTACTCAGTATAAAAATGCCAGAGCTTTCAGGGTTACAAAATACCCTTACACACCTACAGCTGTAAAATACGATACAAAAACACATAGCAGCCATTGTTCAAGGCACTCTAACACTTGTAAATGTAATTGCTATAATCTTTCCCTTACTGTAGCTATGTAAGGCTGCAGGGCACAGAAGGTACACAGTGCACTAGCGGCGCAGTCTCATCACGCCTCTTACAGAGCGCTACACCACTGTGAAACCAAATGGCACCGTCAAACATAATGGGTGGGAGGGGCAGCGGGCAAAATGCACAATCTGTAATATATGTGCAACATGGTGGATTTTATATGTTTATAATGGTTTCAAGTTATGGAAATGGTCCTCCATCGCCATAGCTGATATCCATACAAATAATTTTGTGGGGGCTGGTCCTGTTAAAATCCTTCAGCACCGGAATATACCACCGTAGGGTATGGAATTGAACCAACACAAAAAAATTCTTGTGTTATATTTTAAGTTCTCAAAAAAAAAAAAATTGCGGCTGTTTTTTCCAATTACGGTTGTCTAAAGTATCCAGTATGTCATGTGGTGAAATGAAAAAAAGAACCCAAAATTTAATAAAATAAAGCCAAGGTAACACTAAAGCACAAAAATACAGAACTGAAAACAAGACAGGAACAAACGTGGTATTGACAAGGGACGGACAACAAGTGGGAAAGTGATACGGCAATGACTCAAGGTTAATGTAAAACTAGATAGTATTGATTATAAAAATAAACTAAATCAGTTATTAAACTATATTTAAAGTACTTATACTATATCGGAAGAACAAAAGAAAAAGTTCATTGTCCAAAAAGAGCATCAAAATATAATATAATCAGCTTTTCAGTGTATCAGCCCTTAGCTTTCAGCATGTAAGAGACAGCATGTTTTCTAATACGATAAAGACATTGGGTTGTGGTTTGATTTGTTCCCAAAATGTTTCTTCGAGAAGACTCTATGAAGACCAAATAGCACTGTTATCATGTTTAAACCAGAGAAAAGTCAAAAAGCGTAATATGAGTCCTTTAAAACAGACACTTTTTTTATGTAATTATGTAAGATTTTTACTTCAGACTTTGCCTCTTCATAGATATTCTACCATTGTGATTGTCTTCTTCACAGGTCTCGGTGGTCACCACAGCTGTTCCGGGCCGGGCCATGCGCCGGGTTAGCTCCGTGCCTACTCGCTCTCACAACGCGGCCTACACCAGCCCGTCCCGCGGCTCCTCGTTGCGCGCCTCCGTCAACAGCCCCTACAGCTCTCCTGTTGTCACCGAGCCCAAACCTTTATCCAGCATCTTCTCCTCCACGCTACCCACAGTGCAACGCTCCAATACCACCTGCACAGGCTCCTCTCCTTACTCCACGCAGAAAAACTCCCCCTCCGGACTGCGGCGCGTGGGATCGGCCAACTCCAGATCGGGCAGCCGCACCACCTCTCCGTACCAAGTGTCCGGGTCGAGTTCTGGGCGTATGGGTTCGCCACTAACTATGGCGGATAATGTGAACGCGCCACTCACAAAGCAGCCCGGTCATTCGTCGTCTCCGGTCAGGACTAGCATGACGGCGGTCCCCCAGCACTACAGCTCCACGTTGCCGCGTTCCATGCTCCACAGCACAGACCCCTACGGCCCCCAGAGTTATGACATTTACGAGAGGATGACGCGGCCCGACAGCCTCACAGGTACGGAGCACATACGACACACTCTACTGCACAGGGCTAGTCAGCATTCTGCTCGACTCAATCAGGCTCTTGAGGTCAATAGATAATCACTTAAGCTGTCTGAAAAGTAAATGATCGCAGTAAGTCTGAAGCAAGAATATAAATTGGGATGTATAGACGATACCCATTAAAATGTTCCCATTTATTTAGAGCAGAGCTGCATTTTCGTATAACTTGCAGATGCAAACTTTAAGATGACTTGGATTTTGGAACCACGACATAAGCAAAATAAAGGGCCTCAAGATATGCATTTTTATATATGTCTATTTATCTATCTATATTTGTTATTCAAGCAGTACTTGAATCAAGTTCATTACTTTTAAGTAGAGTAGAGTATACATACCTCTTGCAGAATGTTGTTTCAAGGAGGATTATAGTATCTTCAAATTTACCCATGCAATTCTGTTACAAAATTGAACTGAGACACAAATTGACTTGCTTTTTGTTAGTTGACATAACACATTATACACAAAGATTATGGTATATGGACGCATTGATGAAGGACTGGGGGACAGAAGCCAGCACTGCTCATCCACGCACTATGGCAATGTAGTTTTGAACAATCCACATTTGGGGAGCCAAAATATCATGAGCAACTTTGCTCTGCTCAGTTTATTGGAGGTATGGACATAAAAATACTATATCTTTAACAGTTTGTTTTTATTCTGCCTTTGCGCCAAACTGTTAGCATGGAAAGCTATTGCATGCTAATAATAACGCAGACAAGTTATGGCCATTAATTAACTGGCAATGTAAAGTCTGGTGTGTAGATCAGTGGATGTAGACGTCCCCATATTGAACTTTCGTTGACTGTCAATCCTCCAACTGCCAGCGCTTTGAAACAGGTTTGGAGCCATTTCAAAGCAACGGTATGATCAGCTTTGCATCATGTGTTTTAAAGGTAATCTAAATTAGTGACTATAACCTCTCTTGGTCTCATCTTCATCAGAATACATCCAAAATAAAACATGTCCGTGAAGCTGCGTAGTGCTTTGGTTGCTGCTGCTTCTGTCCCAGATCATATGTAAAAAATAACAGTCAATGGGTCCATGCTTGAATATTCTGTGACCCTGTTGACATTATATCCTTGTAAAATGCAGTGTTTGCATTTCCCATTTGTTATTGCGAGGTTAGTAGACTGTTTTGTGCTTTACCTCCCACTGCCCACGGGATATCCTCAGACGCACTGCTGGACGCTGACATTCAAGGTGAACACTCGGCCATTTCATTGGTTTCTTTTCATTTGTGGAGCGTGGTGCATGTCATTGGTGTAGTCCTGCCATTTTCTCCTTTCATTAGCACCTGGGTGTGAATGCGGACGGCAGCGATACCAACGCTCGCTGCAACAGGTGCAGGCTTTGAAAACAATCACTGGAGCTTGTTGGGGCTTTGACTCCACCATTAGCTCTGTGTAAGTGTCCTGTCCCTTTTGATGAGACTCACCTTTTATGTATACAAGGGAGATCAAAGTATTTTACAAAAGATATCTTGTATAATATAGCTTTCTATTTTCACTCTCACTTCCTCCACTGTAGGGTGAATACAGGTTCTTATCTTATCTCGTAGTTTAAATGTTCATTACATTACGTCAGCAGCAAGCAACGACATCTTTTTGTGATAACATTTTGTCCCATTGTCAAATCAGACGTGGAGTTGTTTTTTAGATCCATCCACTACGACATCACGCCCAAAGCAAAGGCAACATTTTTCTGCCTTTTAAAAACAAAAGTATGCGTATCTGTAAACAAAACAAAACAAATCAACGATGATACATTTTATTTGTAATGCACCTTTTCAAAATAATCTCCATGCTACATAATAGAATTCAACTCCTACCTCTGGTGTTAACATAGAGTATCTAGTGGAAAAAAATGTTTACACCTCATACTTGTTCTGCAGTATTTTTTTCTCTTAAGATAATATTTCACATTCGAAAACATTACATGACATCGTAAATAGTGTGGGTCTTTTATTCAAAAAATGTAACCGGTCTTTACAGCAGTCTGCAGAAGTCAGTACTATTCTACATTATTGTTTTGGTTCTGAAGGTCAAAGCAAATTTATCACAATCCCAGACGCCAAATCTTTTGCCATTTCCTTTAATAGTCTCATAATTTTTAAGGGCTAAAAATAAAGCATGATATTTCTTAAGTTACTCGTCTTATTGATCAAAGAAGTTATGGTTTATGAACACGACTACCCTGTTTTGAGAGGGATTTAATTATGATTTGTGAACTGTGAAGCATTGAGATTGCTTTTATATTAGCAACAGTTTAATCATGGAATACTTTGAAGCATTGACATTTGAGAGAAACCCAAATTAATCAAAGAATTTTGAGAGGATGCAACCTTTCTGATTAGCTCATTGTAATTGTGTGAGTAGAAAGAAAAAGCGCCTATTGGCTATTGCTAAGTGCTGCCACTTACCAATAGCTGTTTGTATTTGCACCATGACTAAACACATGCTTGTTTCTCACTATTATCTTCCACAAACAATTTCTTTCCGACAGTATAATTCCAGTGCAATGAAATCAAACATCTGTCAGAAGCTTTGAAAAATAATTTGAGTCTCAGAAATCCAGTCAGCAGCATCAATTTTTTGTGTTTTTTTTTCTCTCCAAAGCGGGCACGCACCTCCTGCCGTACCAGCCCCCATCTCCAGCATGCCAAGTGTAATCTGTTAACGCCAGCGCAGGGGCTGAGGGGAGAATTAAATGACTATAACACACAGAACGTGGCCATTTATCCTCGGAAGACAGCCCTGTTATTTTTCTCTCTCCCCCTTCTTGACAATTTGCAGATGCTTTTTGGAAGGAAGTGGCTGCAGCTCTTCAGTCTTGGGGACAGAATAAAAAGGCAGGAAAGATTAGTCGGTTTATTAGGTGTCATTTTCCAAAATAATTCATGTTATTTAAGACAAGGGCCTGACTGATATTGCCTCTTTGCTTAGACTACTGCCTCTGCAACTCTGCAAAGGATATAGTGGAAGAAAAGAGATGGACGGCAAATCATTGTAAAAATTTGTCTCAAGTCAGGCACATTTCAAATCTATTGAAACATATAACATGAGAACTTTTTATTACTTTGTTTGACCCATTATATTTCCCTAATGTTGAAAAGGGTCAGCAGTGTACGTTGGAGCACAGTTGCTTTGTTACATTGCTAAAAAGGCCAATTAGTTTTGTTATTCTCTACTTTCCCCATCCACTCATAATTATCGAAAATAAATAACCCCACCATTTGCCACATGTTTATTTTTGTCATTATTAGTGATTCCACAACTTTGTTCCAGACTTTGTTCATCCTCTGCCACTGGACACGAAAGGCGGATGTTACCTTGAGTTACCAGAAATATGCATAATTACTTTAGAACTCCCTCTCGACCACAAAGCTCTGTTACAGCAGCCAGCTTTTTCTCCGGTGGTCCAGACCTTGCTTGTTAACCCTGCTTTTTATGTCTTAGCCTTTTCAAACCCTTTCTTTTACTTTTTTTTTTTTTTTTTACAACTTCAGAGCGTACCCTTCCTAATTCTTTGCACAAGAAAAGACTGACTGATGCTCTGCCAACTGTTAAGAATTGCGTGTGTGTAGTCGACGTTGTGCTTCTTAGGAGATTGAGCTGTGAAATGATTCCGTTGTTACCTCATAAACTGCACACAATCCTTCCTACAGAAATCACAGATAGCGTTGCATTTTTGTTTCAGAATAGATAACAGGTCGGTCATTGGAGTTTGTTTGCCTTGGGAGTCACAGAAGGACAAAAGCAGTGGGTGGCACTAAAAGGCGAAAATGCATTAACCGACACAATGCTGACTCGTTCAGACATTACAAGTTTTTTTTTTTTCCCACTAAACAAATGTAATGGTCAGGTGTTAAGTAAATATGTGTTGAAATGTCAGGGAATTTGCATAAGTTTGAGAAGACATTTTATGCAGATATATAGATTTCTAAATGCACATAAGGTGGCAAATGCATGTGTATTGTATTACTGTATTAATATTGGGCAACTTTCCATGTATTAAAGCTAAAGAATTAACAACACTAATGGATCTATCCAAAAACACTGCGTGACAATTTGTTGAATATCACTTTCACCTTATGATATTGTACTTTACAATCTTTACAAAGCATTAAATCATATTGGGTGCCAGCTGTTTTTTCACATTTCCAGACTTCTACATTTCATCGGTGTGTTGCAGACAGACCTTGGGTTGAAATGAATACTTTTCATACTTAATGTAGACAGTTTTCAGAAGATAATATTGGAACATTTAGTAACTGTACATTTGAATGCCACATTTTCTGACTTGGTGGATAAGAAATGACTCTCGATTGACCTTGACATTGGCCTGTGTTGTTCAAAGTATTGTATTGTATTGTCAGGTGTCCTCGGGTGCTATCAAATGAAATGAAATGAAAAAGTCAGTTTACTTCTGAAATTCAAATTAAGATGTGAAACTAATATTATACAGACTCATTATGCACTGACTGACAAATATCAATCCTTTTTTGTTTTAACGTAATAAAGAGGATGTAGAAATAAACAATTTAATTCCGCTCCTGGTGCATTTGTACACGGTAGGAGCGTGCAGCTGGCGGGGACCCGAGCTCTGCGCTGGTCCAGTGGGGTTTACACTTCAGGAGTTAGAACAACACGAGCAGCATGTACTGTATTTTTAGATTACAGTACATGGAATATGAATATTTGAATTGGACTTGTTCATCAGCTTAAAAACATTTTTCAGTGGCATTCACTTTGGAAATGTGATGAATTTTGTCTTTTTGTGAGCACTAACATTTGATGCAAAAGTACGTGGTGCTGTCAGGATTATTTAACCGTATGAGAAATGTTTTGCAATCCTTCACCAGAGACACAACATAACAAAACTATTTTTGGTCTTCCTGTTTTTTTTTTGCATTTACTAAACCAACAATCTTTTCTCGAGACGAGCTTTTTGGCACTTTCCAAATATTATTTATACTTTAGTAAAATACAATTGCATTTTACATTATACAAGAATGAATGAATGAATACTTACTTGACCATATTTAGCAAAAAGTGTGTTCCATGACTAGTAGTAGTAGTAGTAGTAAGTAAGGTTTATTTATATACCGCCTTTTCACTGCACATCGGAGTCTCAAAGCGGTTTACAATTGTTGGGTGGGGGTGCCAGTACAGGAGGCACATGCCATACCTATTGTACATATTTTTAGTGGTAGGGGAAACCGGAGCACCCGGAGGAAACCTACGCAGACACGGGGAGAACATGCAAACTCCACTCAGAAAGGCCCTGGTCCAACCGGGATTCGAACCCAGGACCTTCTTGCTGAGAGGCGAGAGTGCTATCCACTCAGCCACCGTGCCGCCCACTAGACTAGTTGATCTCGGACTCTGTTGCTCAAAATAGTGTGACAATTCTAATATTTTTAAAACATTAGTTAGAGCCATGAACAATAATGAGTCAAAAGAGGCCACATTCCAGCGGGACATGAACAGATCTTTGCACCGTGCGTCATCTGTGTGGGCTGGCACACTTCAAGCATGACATTTTTTTGTTTTAAAATGTTAAAGATTGACAGATTTGATAAAAAGGATGGTAAATGCTAATCCCCTTTCTCTTCACCGATAGGAATGCGAAACTCGTACGCCAGTCAGCACAGCCCACTGGGTCAGGAATTACGATCGACCATTTCCCCGGATCGCCACATCGCACCGATATACGAGGACCGCACGTACCACGGGCCGTTATACCGGAGCCCCACCCAGCCAGGGCCCCTATACAGGAGTGCATCAGGTCAGTCTGGCTTTACATATTTAGAGACATCTGTTTAGCTTTCCCATGTCTGGTTTCCATCCAAGTTATGTTAAGCAAAGACAGACAAGCTGCTGTATTGTAAACTGGTTTGTGGTCTATAATTACATCTCTTGGATTGATGTAATTTTCCAATCTTGAGTAAATAATTTTGTTTTGCTGTCTCTGCTTTACATCAGCTGTCTGTGCCATAATCAAAGCATGTAGCCATTTGTTACATTCATCTGCACATAGAAATCTGCTGTGCCTACAAGCAGTTAGGGATGTAAGATTCACAAGATTAAATTGTTCAAATCTGGTGTCAAACTATAAGCATGTTTTTATTGTTCTGGATTGTACCAGTTTACACATTTTATGAAGGTAAGCAAATATAAAAGAAATAAAAATTATTTTGCTATGTATTTTAGTTGCTAGACAGAATTGAGATGTTGCTCTCTGGTACTTCATAGTTGCTCTGATGTTATTTTCTGTATTTTCTCACACTAAAATACTGTTTCTAAAGCAGACAAAACAATCACATAGTGCAAAATGAGCATAAAAGGCCTGAAACAACACCTGCCCCTTCTTTCAATCCCGCACACTTTTATTCCCCTTTGTTGATTAAATATGAATGCAGCACGTGAACTTGTCATACACAATGCATCATCACTAAGAGGATGCCAGGGGAGTCTGAACCAAGCATGCACCATATTACTGTTCGAAATGAGAAAGGGCCCTGGTGAGAATGGGGATAGATAACAGGCTTTGCTGCAGCTTGTAATATCCTAATCATGATATGTGCTTCTATGCTGCACTAGGGAGAGCTAGAAAGCCTTGGAAATGTGTAATACCTGCATTTTGGATCCATAGAAAACGACACAGAAATGCGTTAAGTAAAGAAATGATACGCATATGTGTGATTCTTGTGTCACCATTTTATTCTGCTAAATATTAGATGTATATTGAACAGTCATGAATGATTAATGCAGCCATCTTGCAGTGGCAGATTTGACAATATGCACACAAGCATAATAGAATTGTGTCTGACTGTGTCCAATAATAAATGATAAACTTGGGGGGGAAATGCTTTGTCCACACAGTATCTGCATTGCTGTGTTGTATTCCTTTGGGACTCTCTCTTTCCCCCTCTCTCTCTCTGCCCTTCAGCGTTCTCTCTGTTGTGTCCTCATTTTTTCCATCCCTTTTCTTTCCATCAGCCTGTGTTTCTTGCTGTCCCCTCTACTGTCAGGGAGAAAAGTGTGAGACGGAGTTAATAGGCAGGTACTGATATGTCACCCTTCCACAAAGCAGTCCATTACCCATGTGTCAGACCGGGATCTGCAGGAGGATGCAGGGGCTACAGGACAGCTAGGTTAGCCACCCCCTTAGCCTGCCTGTCTCCTGGCATCACATTTGATACACTCAGTTTGGTTTGCAACACACACATTCTGGCTCGTTCACCCCTCATCGGAGATCTGTTTAGACCGATAACTCTTATAAACGCTATTGATGCCACGCTGCAGCCTACAGACATAATGCCGGTTATATTGAGGACACGCACACAGACGAGCTGAGCTGAAGGGATAGTGGAGTTTGAGAGGGAAGTTCGATACGGGGCTTTTGTGAGAGGTACCTCATTAGAAAAATCCAATTTGATCCCAAAGCATTCTTTGTTATCTTGTGAAATGAAATTTCAGAGGGTTATTTTCTCCCGCTGGCTGTCAACTATTTTTTGTCAGGAAAGTTGTACTTTACTTTTTGTGCCGGGGAAGAGATATGAAATCCAAGCGTAAAACCTTGTCTAAATGCATAGAAATAGACAAAAATATACCAAACCGTGACTATAGAGTAGATTGATAAGATTATTGTTAATAATTCTCCATTAAGCTGCATGTTTACTTTGGGGAAAAATGAGAAAGAAACATTCGACAACCATATTTACTGCTGGTTCAGTAATTGATTTGATTTGGCTCACACTGACAATAATTCACCTTTAAGACCATAAAACCTTTTATTAGTTTATTAGTATCAAGACCACTGGTAGCGTGACCAACATTTCAAAAATAACAACATAAGATCTTGGTAATTTCCCTTGAAACATTTCCAAAATTAGTGAAATTTACTAACCTTTCTAAAAACATTCTAATCTTTCGCCCTTCTGCTTCCTTAACTATATGACACTGCACCATGCACCGCCTCTGTCCAACATGGAAGCGCATTCATGTGGCAAATTGTGTTTTTGGAGCTCACCCGGCGGTTGACGTCTTGGTCCTTGGCTGGTGGTTGAAAGGGGGGGGAGCTGAAGCGTGCGCACATGGCCCGTCCGCTTGGCTGCCTGATATGGATCAAACAGTCACGCTGGCTCTCATCACATGCTTACCTCCCGCCTGCCTGTTGATCTACGCCTCTAACCTATTGTGCGTAAAAACTAGGCCATACCATAACTCCAAGCCAATGGAAACAGAAACACGTTTGAACAAGGATGCTGTCAACATGGATATCGAACCGTGTCTGGAAGGATGACCCAACTCACTTGTGGTTCTCATCATTTACAACAGTGTGTGGCCAACTTAAAGCCAGGAATAGACCGAGGATTCGAGGACCAGTTTGGCTTCCTTCCGTCCTATTTGGAGAGCAGCAGGATCTCTTTGGGCTTGTTAAAAAACAAAACAAAGCAGCCAGCAACTTTAAAGAAGAGGAACTTTTGGGGAACCAAGGGAGCTGCATTTTATCATTAATTGGAGCCAGATTTGAAAAGCTGCTGAGCGAGGCAGAATGCTTGTTTGTATTTCCACTGCAGCCTGCGCCTCTTTTTAAGTTGTAAGCAGCCGGCGAGCCACTGTTAAGCCTGAGGTTTGCTAATCTCTCACCAACCTGCTTCACCTCCTCTAGTCCGTGTTGTGATGAAAGCATGCTTTTGTTGCTTGTTGTTTTGAATCTTAGGTGTGGGTAGCTTGCAGAGGACATCCAGCCAGCGCAGTGCTATGACTTACCAAAGAAGCAACTACGCGCTCAACAGCACGCCAACCTACGCTGATCCATATCGGACGCAATCACAGTACCGTGCTCTGGATTCAAGCTACGCACGGCAGGCGGTTATCATGGATGACGATCCCACTCGCTCTCCTTCTATAGACAGCATTCAGAAAGATCCCAGGTACGATCTGTTTTACTATTCTTACTTGTTATGATAGTGTTGTTTTTTGGCACCATGACAAATTTCAGTCATAGTGCTAGGGGTGGGCGATATGGCCTAAAATTCATATCGCGGTATGATTTGGGTCACAGACGGTAGACGGTATACATCACGGTATAATTTGGTGTGTGAATTTCAATATAGGTTTAGCAGGTTCTTGCATAAAATAGTCAAGATTGTTACTTATCTATACATTAGAATCTGATATATATTTTTTGAGTTTGAAAATCAGGTGAGAGACAAATGCTGTAACATACATTATTTATGTATGTTACAGTAAAGACCATTAACTGTGAAAGCAATTTTAAATAATATAAAAATATAAAATATATTATATAATATCTGTAGCAGTTAGACATGGTCATTATTTATAGTGTCAGAGTTTAGTGCGTATGCATGGCTTCAGTAAAAGCTATTGTTCGTTTACAAAGCTAGTCTTGCCATTTGTTGACGCTCCCTAAGCGCTTGCTGTGAACTGGATGATTCAATGGATTTATCTGCATTAAAACAGCGCATTTGATTTGAACAATTGATGTAAATGCTCATTTTGGCACAATTAATTTTGTTTAATAAAGTAGCTTTTGTGATCTATTGACCGTGGAAGTCTGAATCGGACGCTAACTTTACAAAACTTCTGAGATGATGCGGACACGGCACAAGCATGGATCTATTTCGGCTCACGATGGCGCTTCGAGCCTACGCCCCTTTGACACTCATTGGCCGAAAGGTAGACATGTAAACTGTGATTGCTGTGTGTGTATTTACCTCCGCTGGGGCCGCTGTGACAACAATACAGAGACAGAAACACGGTGTGAAAGCCGTGCTGTTGTTTCCAGTGGTGTCTGCTAGGCTAATGCTGCTAGGCTAATGCTGCTGAATGCCGGTTTGTTTTGGTCCTTTCTGCTGGCGTCAGAGCCTGCGCAATTTGATGACATAATGACCTATCGCAATATGCCGGTATAACAAAAATCTCTACCGTGGGCCAAATTTATACCGCATACCGCTTATACCGTTTATACCGCCCAGCCCTACATAGTGCATTTTATTGAATTTAAACTGTTCTTTGTCAACAATTAATTACAATTATCTCAAAGTTATTGCATATTTTTGAAGGAAAGTGGTTGTCAATTTCCAGTTTGGTACAAGTAGATGAGGAATGTATGTCATCAGTACACACAATAACACCCAAAATGCAAAGATGGTTTACTTAAACAAGTATTTATTAAATGAATTATGTATGTTATCGCTACAATAGATAGTTATAGTTTGTAGTCAAATTCTTGTGAAATCATAACTGTAATTTAGACTGGCTTTGGCCCATGTTTACGCTCTATATATGTTGTATCTGCTTCTGCTTCTATGGACCTATTGCGTTGACCAGAATACTCCACAAAACATCACCTTGCAGTATTTCTTTGCTGCTCAAAATGACCCTACTGTACATACATTCTTACAGTTAACCCATGATGTGACCTGTTGGCTTCACCTGCTTGTGTAATGCCACATTACGGAACATTTCAGACAGCAATAACAATAACATCTCCATGGAGAAGGCAGGGGAAGGACCTTCTATCAGAGTTACGAGTGCAGCTTTAAGTTATATGATAGTTATGATAGTTATATTATTACAGTTATAAATACCCAAGAATTAGGTCTCTCACATAAACTAATTTTGAAGAACAATACATTGCTTCAGAAAACGATTGCGATATAATGTTGAGATACTCCCAGTATAGGATTTTTGTCCATTTCATTAAAAGCATGGATTAGCAATCAACCAAAATGTTCATTTCAAAAACTGTATAAACACGATTTCACTCTACACAATATCCAAAACATGTACAAGTTTTGAAAAGGGGTTTGTTGAAGCAGACACTTGTATACTTCCAAACCCCCCTTAACCATTCAGTAGTTATGTCCAAGTAATACTGCAAGTTACTGTACATTAATTGTTTTGAACAGAAGATGGCAACAATCTCCATTATTGTAAAGAAGACTGAGGTCCATTTATTCTTTACTGAATCACCATCCAAATAGTCATGTTTTTGACAGGCCTGCTAAGACCTCCTTGTAGTTTGTTCTATTAAGACTTTTAAAACCAAGCTTCAGCCGTCGCATGTATTTCAGTAAAGTTGTTTTTAAGTATTACAACTGGTTGGTGTGAAAAAGTTGCAGACATGGAAACACACGAGCCAATGCCACCGCTTCACCTCACTTCACCCTCTCATTTTTAGAGAACTGGTGAGTTTACAAGGCATCCCTGTTCTGCTGGATCAACACCAGCATCCCCTTACTATCTAAACACAGAGCCCCCCAGTGTTGTAGCCCCCAGCTCTGGCCACTAAGCTGCTTCTAATATGCCTGGCTTCTTTACAATGGCCCCTCACAGACTGCTGCGTCCGCTCTTGTCCCACCGACCTGTGTAAGCAGCGGGAGAGTGGTGACCTCCGCAGTAAACCCCTGACCGGGCACATTGGAGCTTTGTTTGCGCCCGTGTATGTTGTTGTAAGGAAACCACTTTACCCTCAGTATTACACGTGGAGCCGGATATGGGCAAAAAGTGATTTATTGGACAGTGTGTAACTGTTGGAATATATTGTTGTCAAGGGGATATGCGCAGGTAAGACGATCCGAGCTCATTTGAAACTGTGTGGAAATTTCATAATTAAGTTTAGAAGCTAAGCATTTCTGGTTAAAAGTGTTGATTTTCTTTGTTTAAAATGAAATTCTGATTTTAGTCGCTTTAGCATCAATTCCAGAAGAATTAAATTGAAATCTGGAATTACTTTTGCCCCTAAAAATCCTTCGGTTTGCCTTTTCCTTTTTCTGCTAAATAAAGTGCCTCTATTGTCAAACACATAAAATCTTTCAAATGTATTGAACTTATTGTGAAGAGGGAATGGTTCTACTGCTTAGCTTTTACAGTGTATATGCAGGTCAGAAATGTATGATATAGTCACCAAAATAAGATATAGACTCATTATATGCAAAGAAACGGATGCCAAGTTTTTGTTTGCTATATTTAGATTATTTTGGTGTTTTTACAAGCTTTGAAACAAAAGGCTTGATATATCTCACTTTGGATGTACTGTGTCTGTCATTTAGTTTCACATTGTTTCACTGGACTTTTGTATTAAATTATTATATTCCAAGATTCACCTGTATATACTTGTGTTGATTTTCATTATTGTAAATACGGACAGACCACAAACAATGTACATGTTCATGTACAAAGATTACTGTGGGACCACCCTTGGTATTGTTTATAGATTTGGAATGAGCAGCTTGTACCCTTGCCAGTAACTTGCCTAATTGCTACTTAAAAATGTTGGCACACATGTTAAAAGTTCTGTTGCGGACGGTCAAAAACAATTCTAAACAAACAAAGCAAAGAACTCTCAAATCTGATAAAATTCTCCAACATAACCGTGGGTCTTTCCTGCAGAATATATAAAGCATAATCCTTGTGTGTCTCAAACTTATTGGATTACATATGAACGGATGTCTGTATCATTTCCTGGGCTTATCACGTCTGCCCCGAGGCTATGAAATATTGATTCAAGCAAAAGTTTCTGTTCTTGTGTTTAGGGAGTTTGCGTGGAGGGACCCGGAGCTGACGGAGGTGATCCACATGCTCCAGCACCACTTCCCTTCGGTACAAGCCAACGCCGCGGCCTTCCTGCAGCACCTTTGCTACGGGGACAACAGGGTGAAGACTGAGGTGAGGGTTTGTCCTCCCAATTCACCCATTAACACTCATCTGCAAAGAACGACATTGTATTTGAAGGTCTTAAACTGTAATCCGTATTCCGGACCGCTCCATAAGATGCATTCTTTTATAACTACAAACTGTTTATCCAAGGCCGTAGGCAGGCTTGAGTTCCCTGTGGTCAGGACCTCTGGGTCAATTTATTTGTTAAGGTGGATTATTTTGTTATTTTTGGTCATCACATGTAATTAATGTGTTTTTTACAGAAATAAGCTTGGGTGAAAACATGTGTTATTTTTTGTAAAAAGTTTGCTTGGTCTGTATAATTTTACTGCTGTTATAACTAACATCGTGTTACACAAAGATTTTTTTTATAAGTATGCAATTTTAAGAGAATACCAAGTGTCAGGAAGTCTCGATTCATGATGAGCCATTGTAGCATGAAGTTTAAAGGCTACAGTGTATCGTCATTATATAAACACACCATGCATTAGATCAGATGAATTGGACCTCGGGATCTAAAAGTCCTTTGTACAATATGACCTGTTTGTATTCATTTATTTAGACTAATTATTGCTTTGCTCATCTCAGGTTTGTCGGCTTGGTGGCATTAAACATTTGGTGGACCTGTTGGACCATAAAGTTCTGGAAGTGCAGAAAAACGCATGTGGAGCCCTACGGAATCTTGTTTACGGCAAAGTTATGGACGAGAACAAAGTCGCTGTGAGGAACGCCGGCGGGATTCCGGCTCTGCTCCGATTACTAAGGAAAACTGTGGACGCGGAGGTGCGAGAACTTGTAACAGGTATGTTTCCCGAAATCGGATACGTATTGGGCCATTGGAGTTGATCATAGTGCCTCCACTACCTATGAAACTTGAATGTAGTTTCCATAATCTTCAGTGTTAATGCTTCCTTTCATTCGTGCTCATCTCCAATGCACAGAGCACCTGTTTGTGGCTAGCTTTTATCACTGACTGCTCGTCTAATCGACATAAGCTTCTGGATTTGGCTTGCGTATAATACAGTGCAGGGGTGCCCAAACCTTTTAGTAAGAAGGTCTCTTTAGTTCAGTGTTTTTCAACCAGTGTGCCATGGAACGTTAGTGTGCCTTGAGATGTTGTATGGTGTGCCTTTGGAAATGCTCTTATATCACCTATTTGACATTTGCAGAATGTCATGTTTGCATATGTTTTAGGATGATAATGATGATGAGGATGAAAAGGTGTGCCACTGCTCAAAAAGGTTGAGGAAGACTGCTTTAGTTCATCAGTTGTTGTATGTGTTATCTAGGGGCTGACAACATGGATAGTTAAACTGTTCTGACTGGATTCCCGCTGTTCATGACATGTCCATATTTTGACAGAGCTGAAGTTGTCAGTGTGAACAAATAAAGTCTACGGCTGAATTCTAGACGTTCTGAACTTTACAACATAGTGTAACTTGCTTATATTGGTAGAGTTGTTGTTCTATGTGTTCATTGCATGGTCAAATCAGCATGGTCTTGCTAAAGGCTGTGCATTTGGTCTGTTCAATGTAAATTTTGTGTTCATAACATAATAACACTGTTTTTATGATTTCGAAGTTTTGGGTTAGCAAGACCACATAAAATGACATAAGTCTGCTATTGGCCTTAGTTTGGACGTGTCTGGCCTAGATTAATCAACTGTTTTTCCGATATTACTTCCTATTAAACATGTTTCATAATGAGTATTCTCCACAACTTATTTAAAAGTCGTTATACAAGCCATTATGTTTCTCACCCCACCAGCTGTTTAACTAAAACCTATGATAGTTTTACCGCAGCACATTTATTGCACTAAATTAATGAACATACAAAAAATTAAAACCGGTCATATACACAAACCCAGAGCCATAATCTGTTCTTTTATGGCAGTTTCCTTAGAATAAATCTAAAATATGACTTTCAATTTACTTACAGCACTTTGAGCCCAGCTTGTAGCCTCTGCGCTCGGTGTAATGATGCAGAACAAATACAGAAGGTGCTAAAATGTGGCTGTAAGCCGTGTGCCCTGGTGTTGTCTTGGTCTTTGCAGCCTGTGGGGGACTGAATACTAAAGGTTAGCTGTAATTTCTTTTCGGCTGGAGGAAATTGAGGAAGTAATATGAGCCTGCACAGCTTTTTGGAGCCAACTCTTTGCAGCTTTACTTGGTTTGATGGTTTTTAAAGATGGATGTTTCAACTGTTTCCCACGGCAAGGAGTGAACTGGAGATATTTGTAGCACAGTTTTAGCTCTGTTTGCTTATGGACTGTGTGTGTATTTAGTTATACTTGGCACTCACGTATGAATCATTTTGTTGCATTGTGACTGTATTCACTGTGATGAATAGGGCTGCAGTCGACCAAAGAAATATTTGCTAAAAGGTGGCACAGCTTGGCACTCACAAAAGCTCTTAAAACCATTAAGTGCAAACTCAGGGGCCCGGAAAAACAATACACGACTCCACAAAACAAATAATTTTTTTAAACTAGAAAAAAACTTGTAGAGGGCAAACTTCCACTAGAAGATGCGGTTTTTGTTGTTGTATTTCTTTAAAATAATCCAAACGGTAATTGATTCCATGTCCCATTTATTTATTTTTTATCTCAACTGCACATTTCCGAAAATAATCCAACCATGACTTTTTGAGTTACTTTGCAAACTTGACTAACCTTCGCAGACTAATCAAACCTGGAACGACATCAAAAGATTTATCAACTTAGCAAAAAAACTGCTACAGCCCTATTAATGAGGAAAACTGGCCTACTTATTTTAAAGTCACTCTCTTCATAAAACCACTTTCAAATAGATGAACGCTAATGAGTGATACAAATATTTGAAACCTTCTACAGTATTATAGATATAAAAAAATAATCCCCATTACTTTTCTTAATAAAACAATCCAGTCTTGTACAGGTCAATCTACAGTTAAAAAATATCGATCTTTCTTTGACAAGCCGACAATAATAAGGTACAGTGTCTCCTTCTGATGAATTCTAGTGATTTAACCGTTTCTGAAGTGGTAAGCAGACACACATGAGGTCAGTTCTACCTATTCGCCCACGTCCACAGTCTCCAGTTTAAGTACTTAGTCTGAAGTCTGCAAAAGTCCACATTAAAACCACATATCCATTTTTTTCCACTTACTCCGGTCTGAGAAAAGATGTAACTCTTTGTGCCCAAAAAATGTGACTGGATTAATGTAGCTCTTATTTTAATGTTGGTTGTTTTGAGCTCCGCAAACTGGGGATAAATCTGCGCTGTTTGGGATAGGGGTGGAGTAGCGCAGGGAAAAAGCAGAGCCAGGACATTTGGCTCCCAGGTGGCTGAGTCAGCTGTTTGACCCGGCCCACGCTTCCATCCTCTATCACGTTACAAAAGCAGTCCCCCGGGGAAAACAATATGTGTGCAATCGTGTACACAAAGTGGTGTTTATGAACGATGGGGAGATCGTTTCAATACGATTCAATACGTTTTCAATTTACGATTCAAGGTTCAAGATTCGATTACGTGGTCTGCAGAATGTGATGTAGTTATATATGGAGGCTCAACTCGTACTAGTATGCCCCACTTTGCGTTTAAGTGCACTGCAGCAAGAGTTGTTTACATTAAAGCAAATGATCCTAAATCATAGAACAAGCAGGGTACAGAATTATTTACGTTTTAAAATCATTGCCCATGTATTTGCTGACCCCTACTTGCCCTGGAGAAGGCCTCATCCTGTTTCTATGAAAAGGCAGTACCGTTGGCTCTATTCTTTCACATTGTGCCATATTTAGATATTTAATTATTAGAATGTTTATTTGATAGGTACAGAACAAGAAGCATAGTTACAAATAACCAATGCCATGTTCACAGGCTATATAGCTAACAGCTAATTCGCAGACCTGTTCCCTAAGACGTAAAAATACATCACATTTACAGATCATTGTAAAAACACAGATTATACTGTACAAAATATTTACAATAAAATATTCAAGTCTTGCATTGTGCTCACAAATTTGCTTCCTTTTGAGCCATTGTTCAACTTTAATTTTAAACTCATTCAGGTCTCTTAAAGATTTCAATGCGGCAGTTAAAAATGTGTTTTGATGCATATTTTTTACTTTTTAACCACTGTTCCTGTAATATTTTTTTCTGCAGTACTGAGACGAAGCAAAGGATTATGAAACATTTGAAAACTTCAGGTTCAACTACAATATACATATATTTTCTCATCTTATTCTTTATAATCTTTACCGAGTTTATAAAGAATTATGAACTTGGTAAAAATGAATGTAGGCCAATCAGTGGTGGCAGCTCTTCTCTTTGAGTCTAGTTAAAGCTGCACTAACTGACTTTATTTTCGTATTCATTACGAAAATGCTATCCATGTCCATGTAGTGCATTGGGATATATGTCCTTTTGAAGAATAATTAGCGCAGATTTGTGCTGGCGTGACATTATATTTTAGATCGAGTTTTGATGAAACAAGGAAGAGAATGTGTTTCGGGTCGCAGATAGTGTTGCCAACTCCTAAGTAAGGAAAGTAGCTATTGGCTGTCCCAAAAGTCGCTAGAAGTCGCTAAATGACGTCATCGCCTAATTTGCATAATTTGCCATTTGCAAATAACTGTAACGGACGCTGTAGGAGAGAGGAATAAGGTCGTGGGAGAGACAAAAGTGAGTAAAAACACCCTAAATATGTTTAGAACTACAAATGTACAAAAATAATTTCAACATTAACAACATTTAATGATTTTAATGCTTTGTCTAGATCCACATTACACACATCAGTTTTGTCCTGTATTGTTAAATGTTATAACAGCAAATGTAATCAAAAGATTGTTATGTAGGGTGAAATTGCTAGCTCTACAACCAACCCTCCTCCTTTATCCGGGCTTGGGACCGGCAAAGTGACCCAAAAGACACACTCTGGCAGAGTTACTTAGGTTTATTTTTGTAAGTTTTTTTTTTTTTTCATAGTTTGGCATAACAAATGATTTAATGTGACCCACTACTGAGAGAAAACAGAGTCACGGACAGAGCTGCCGCGGATGGAGTGGGGGGTAGTGGGGGGTGGCGGTGGTAGGAGTGGCCGGGGAGCTTTGGATGTGTGGTGGTGGTGGAGCTGGAGTTCAGTCTGCAGCAGCCTGAAAACTTCTTGTGCTTTTGAGTCTCCTCTCTCTCTCTCTGCTCCGCCCATAGACTGTAGCTGGGACTGCTGCGCAAGGCTACTGTGAGACTGGCCGCCTGTAAGTGCTTTGGGACGGGGGAGGGGCTCACGTTGAGGACAGCAGAACAATACGTGCTTCACGAGTCTCCAAAACACCAGATAAGTCGCCAAAACACCAGATAAGTCGCCAATAACACCAGAAAAAGTCGCTAGATTTGTCGCTAGTCGCTTTTTTGAAAAAAAGTCGCTATAGGGGTCTGAAAAGTCGCTTAATCTAGCGACAAAGTCGCTAAGTTGTCACTCGCAGATTGTGACCAATCACAACGGACCACTGGCCCCCACTTTCGTGAAAAATCTACAGGTCCGTTAGCATAGACGGCTGAGTTAGCACAACAAGCCGAGGAGCTAACCTGAAGCTTCGTGTCTTCATCACCGGTTACTGCTTACACAGCGAGACAGCCATCCAAAAGAAAGTCCCGTTCCTCCGCGCTTCCCGGTTCTATCGTTTTATGGTCACGCCATCCACGTGCAAATCCATATTCATGTATTATCCATATTGGGAGAGGCTAGCTCCGTCCCAACAGTGGGTGTGTATGGGGGGCGATAGCTTCGTGGGTGCGGGGAGGGGAGCAGAAAGAGCGAAGCCAG